AGCAACAGGGGGGGGGGGGGGGAAGGGTATCCAGACCTCCTCATCCAGGATGTCACAAGCCAGGCGGATGCGGGACACATCAACGAGGTGGGGCTCAGATTTTAACTTCCTGGAACGCAGGCTCCACAGCTTCACACATGAATTATCGAACCCAGCAGCAAGCAGCTTGCTATTTGGTGAAATCTCTGCAGTGTTCAGCAACTGCTCTGTGTTATAGAAGGCATAGAAACAGATGGTTGTTAAGGAAGGGGGCCCGTCCTTGACACGTTTAATGCTGTCCTGCAGTAAATCCAGCGCAGCCTCGTTCTGCAGAATGGAAGCCGGCACGTCGCTGGGTTCCAGGCCGTTACTCTCGTTGCGCGAGGAGCTCCCACCGGCGTAGAGCTGGTAGTCAGTCCTCTTGGCGGGCTGCACATCCAGGTGAATGTGCAAGGTCAGGACTTTGCACAGGGCATTGTTGTTGTCACTTTGGAGGTAGCGAAGAAGGTAGTTGTAGCTGTCCTCTTGAAGGCGGATGACGTACTTGTTGTCCAGAAAAGCCCGGAGCTTCAAGTTGGACAGGATATCTTGAATAGTCATGGTAGTCTGCAACTGCTCAATGATATCCTTCTGGCTGGCATTCTGCAAGAACATGCCATGGAAGCGGCTGTAAAAACTGTCCACTGTGCTTTTTAGGCCATTCTGGACCATGTTCAGATGGAGGTAGACAAAGAGGGGATACAGAAGAGGCATCACTTCATGGCTGTGCTGAGAATCTGAATCTACATAAAAAACAACAACAAAGTTTGAATGATTTCTCAATCCATTTTCTACTGGGAATAAAACAGAGCAAGGACAATTACTGCAAAAATCCTTGACAGTGGCATCAGAGAGCAAGCAAGAGGAGACTTCTGTTGGTGCATCTAAGTGAACTTCTTCTGTCACCTAAAGGGGATACACAGTACCTATTACAGATCCGAAGAGAGATTTTCAAGTCAGTGAGGTATGTTGTCAAAACAAAATGCAGATATTTCAAAACCCTTTTTAGGTGTGGACCAGCTATTAAAATACCACCTCAAACTACACAACAGCTGAATTTTCCCCCCTATGTATTTAAAAAGAAAAACTATGCCCGCTGTTTATTGCAATAAATGGACTTTAAAATTTAGTCATTATATTTAAAATAGTATTTAACATGTTTAAGTCAAAATTATTTACCTAGCTTGTGTGGGCCTGAACTTTGGTGGCTTTTTTCCCCCCTCAGCTTCAATAAAACTTGCATGTGGTGCTTCGGATGGAACTGATTTGTCTCTGGGGGAAAGGAAGCTGCAGTTTCCAAAATGTACTGCAATATGCTGTGCTCTTGTTTTATTTCTGTGCCTGCTCATGTGCATGCTTTCCCTCTCTCTCGCCCCCTCTCTCTGCCAAGGCAAATCCCAGCAGTAATTCCTAGTACACAGTGTAACAAACTCCGGATTAGGCGGTGCTGTACCTTGCAGAGACTAATCTGTGCAACAGCTCCACCCCTCCTTCACCAGCTTCTTGGGGCTATTTCCCTCCCACGTTCAGCCGGCTGCAGGGAGCCGCAAGGAGCAGAGCCCTGCCGTAGGACACCATGGCAGTGTGCAGGGCCACAACAATGAGTTACTGGAAGGCCAAATGGTCCAAATTACTGGAACAAAATAGGCATTGCTGATCCTCAAACAGCATTGCTGGCCTTCAAACAGCATTACTTCTTTCCAACTTGTCCTTCCCTCCTGCCACTCACCAACGCATACTTTTTTTTCCCCTTTCCATTAGGTTATTTCTCCTCTCCTGTTGAGCAGCCATCCAGACTTTCACCAGTCCATACTGTGCCTCTCTCCCATTTCTGTATGAGTAACTACAGAGTGTTTGTGCTGTGCAGTGTATACGTAAGTATTTGCATACTTAGGCATCATTCTGCTCTCTGTCCCACTGCAACTGGGCCAAAGCCAGTGAAACCAGTGGTCTGTATGTAGGAAAAGCACTACGCAGCTAGTAGCTGCTCTTTTTTCTGCAAGTGCTCTAGTCCAGAAATGCAACAAGGGGAAGAACCTCACACTGCAGTGGGGGAAAAAGGGAAGAGATGAGAATTTGGCAGAGACAGGAATGAAGAAAATGTTCCCCTTGAACATATGAAGAGAGGTTACGGGAGCTTCTCTGTCTAGCCTGGAGAAAATCAAGGGGGTATCTAACTGCTGCCTTCAGTACCCAGTTGGACGTTATGGAGGAAAAGAAGCCAGCCTCTTCTCAGAGGTGCTCATTGAAAGGACAAGAGGCAAGCTGCTGCAAGGGAAATTCTCACCAAATCACTCAGCCCTGCAGCTGGGACCCAGAGGTGTGGGTAGTGCAATCTCCACACTTTATAATGTTCAAAACCTGGCTAGACAAGGACCTGAGCAACCTGATCAAACTCTGACCTTGCCCTGCTTTAAGCAGCAGGTTGAACTAGAGATCTCTAGAGTAATTCCTAAATTATTCAGTGGTCCTAGTCCCCTGTCCACTCCTCAGTGCCCCTGGAGGCAGGCATCACAGAAATGGGACGTGTCCTGCTGTGCCTTGTTGCTGGCTGGCAAGTTACACACATGAACTGCTTCTGTTTCTGCAAGGGAGTAAGAAATCAAAACTGAGCAAGAGGGACCAAAAAGATGCAAACAGTTGACGTGAACACCAAAACCGTGGCTAGCACTTGCCCAAGCAATATTTAAGCCACTGAACCCAGCAGCCATACTTCTCAAAAATCCATTAAACCATATGAATTTACCCTCAATACTAAAGTGCAATAATGTTGAACTGCTCTAGGTGGCAAGCCTAAGACTAAGGCACTATTTTCTGCCTCTGCCTTCCTGCCTGCCTCCCTCCCTTTTCCCTTCAACAAGTATCACGAATATTAATCCTAGTGTTATGCACACTGGGATCAAATCCCTACACTGGACAAATGTAGATGTGCCCAAAAGCAGGAGTGGCAACCTCACTTTCCTTGGTACCATTATCTAAAAATACTACCTGCTTTCTTCTTTCCACACTTGGGACTCAGAAGAAACAAGGACATTCCCAGGAGTCACCCCCCCCCCCTTTTTTTTTTTAAATAAAAAAATAAATAAAAAAAAAAAATCATGATTGTCTTTTGCATCACACTACAGAATGAGATTTTTTTTTCCTTTCTGTCACATACCTCCAATCTCAGAGACAGTAGAGGTAAATTTAAGGGAACAATTTCTCCCTTAAAAATCTAGACCATCATTAAAAAAAGCCAATTATGAATAAAATTAAAAACCCTAACCTAGGAGACAGCAAAGAACTACATTCATTTCTAAGCTACCTGCCTTTCACATAGGAGACTGATCTTCCTTCTTGTCCTGTATGTGTATGATATTGTCTAGAAGATCTACATATATACAAAGGCCAAATGCTTGAACAAGAAAAGGCAAACAGGCAGCTATCTACAAAAGTCAAAGGTACTCAGCACTCAGGCAACAGAAAAAAGGGGAAGAAAAAGAAAAATTAAATATTTCTAATTGTAGTAACTGAAATCTCAAAACTAGAAATCAAAAGATTGTTAGAGGCATGATTTTTAATTTTATTATACTGTCCTTTACTCATTGAAATGGCAAAAAATCAGCTACTTTCCTCTTCCTTGCTTACTGATATTTACCTGTGAGAAAATTGCGTAATCGTCCAAATTGTACTTCATATTGCTGTGGCTCCGCCAGGCAGGGAGCTGCAGACACAACGTTGGCACAACCAGATTCAGATTGGACTGTGAAATAAAATAAGTAAAATTAAGTAAGGATTTAAGGAGTTTTGCATGTATGTCTGGAAACAAAGCTTCTCATAAAATCCAAGGTAATGCAGCCACCAAGGTGACATTTCACCTTTCAAACTGTCCAGGGATGATGTAGTCTGAAGCATCTAAGCCTGGCATTAACAACCTAGACAGATCAGGAATAAGAAAGTATACTGAAAGCTCAAAAAAAACCCCAAAACCAACTTAAAAAGCTCAGCAACTCACCTGCTCTCCCCAGAACACATTTTTAAGTTTTCAAATACAACCTTAAGTTCCCAAGAAAGTCAGAGTAACACCATCACAGATCCCTTCAGTTTTACAAGATACTCAGCAGTTACACTACTTTGCACTCAGAAAAGATGAAAAAATGAA